CAGGCTACAGTCCACGGGGTCACAGAGAGTCGGACACATCTGAGCGACTAACACTTAACAAATACAGCCTACAGGACCTGAGCGACATCGTCAAGTATGCTTGGGTTGCTTCCATGTACAGCCGTTTTTTGAGGAATCACCTTCCTGTTTTCCACAGTAGTTGCATGGATAAGCAAAATGCTGTGTGTGTATGTGTGTGTGTGCATGTATGTATTTCAGCCTTAAAAGGAAGAAAATTTTGATGTATGCTTTAACATGGATGAACCTTGAGGGGTTCATCCCCTCAAGCGACTTAGTGAAGTCGCTCAGTCGTGTTTGACTCTTTGTGGCCCCATGGACTGTAGCCTACCAGGCTCTTCCGTCCACGGGATTTTTCAGGCAATAGTACTGGCGTGGGTTGCCACTGCCTTCTCCAGGAGATCTTCCTGACCCAGGAATCAAACCCTGGTCTCCCGCATTGCAGGCAGGCGCTTTGTCTGAGCCGCCAGGGAAGTCCAGTGAAATAAGCCAGTCACAAAAAGGCAAATACTATAAAACTCCACTGATCTGAGGTGCTTAAGATAGTCAAAATCATAGAGACAGAAAGTAGCATGATGGTCAAAATCATAGAGACAGAAAGTAGCATGATGGCTGGCAGGGACTGAGGTGCATGCAGAGGAGAATGCAGAGTTACTGATCAACAGGCATAAAGTTTTGGTCAAGGAAGATGAATAAACTCTAGAGATCTGCTGTACAATATTGTACCTACAGTGAACACTAATGCACTGTATACTTAAAACTTGTTAAGAGGGTCCATTCCAGGTTAAATGTTTTCATAATACAATAAAAATGATAAGGAACACAGATACTGGAATATAGTACTATGCGTTCAAATGTAGATATGAAAATTGAATGAGAATGTATTGTTTAATGGGTATAGAGCACCAGTTCTGCAAAATAAAAATTGTTCTGAAGCTAGATGATAGTGATGGTCGCACAAGAATTATGAATATTTAATTCCACTGAACTTTACAGCTATAAATGGTAAAGATGGTAAATTTTCTGAATGTTACCGCAATAAATTTTTTTTTAAAACCTCAAGGGAAAAAAACAAAACAAAGACGGGTTGCTTAGAGGTTTTATACTCCACTGAGACAGTCTACTCGGAACTAATTACCCACTAGATCACCTTGGAACCTCAAGGGGCCACCCACTGTTTCCACCACCAGCAAGCTACATCATTCTTTAAAAAGTATTTATAGAATACAATTAAATTTCTGGGAAGTATCAAAATGGATTAAAGAATAATATCATCAGGTGTACTCTTAAGTCTTATCTGCAATGGGAAGCAAACCAATTCAGAGACCGTGGTGGGGGCGGGTTGGGGGTGGGGCAGAAGGTGGCGGTGCTGTGCCCTTTTTGCAGAATCTATAATTTACATTCCTTACTCTTAAAAGTCACTGCAGCCAAGTGGTCTGTCCTGCCAGGGAAGGTTTGTGACACTCTTTCCAGGCTGGTCACAATGACAGGGCCTCCCAAATGACTGAGCTCCTAGATGACTCTGCCATTGGCCCAATAGGTCTAATTAGGCTAAGAAGCATCTTTAATTAACATGGTCTAATAGAGTCAACTTGGGAATATGATTACTGGTGTCAGCCAACCAAATGTACTCTTCTTCATGCTTCATCATTATGAAGGTCATCAGATGTTCTTCAAATCTAGCTTTGTAAATTTTTTGTTTGCTTGTTTTTTTTTTACTAAAACCACAGAGTTCTTCAAAAGATCAGATCCATAATACTCATGGTATTCACTGGGAAAATATACATTGAAGTGTTTCATTGATTGGCTTTATAGGTGGCAATCCCTTAAACAAAACACATCATAGATACACCCTTCAATTATTTTATCCTATTCTGCCTACATTTTTAAAGTTAGCTCATTCACAATCCTTTTCAGTAATTGAAGGATCTCAATAAAGACATTTTAATTATAGGATTTACTGAAGCATGATATACATATGTGCAGATATGCATTATATAGTGTTTTTGTATAAAATTTTTGTAGTAATAAACTGCATAAATGCTATATTTAATAGCATGTAATATAAATCATATAGATGTATGTATACACATATATAAATTGGCTCCATAGATCTTTAAGGGATTATAGATGGTCTTCTGTGTGTGCGTATATTTTGTTGTGGGAAAGTGGTCCACACTTTCGTTTAATTCTCAACATGGCTGTGGTCATCCCCTCACAGGCACCAGAGTGGTTAGAAACCAATGTCTAGAGCTATACTGTCCAATACAGTAGCCATTAGCCACTCATGCCTATTAAGCACTTGAAATATGTCATGTTAACTGAGATGTGCTCTAAGTATAAATACACACCGGATTTTGAAGAAAATGAAAAAGAAAATTTACAATATCCCAATGATTTGCACATTGATTCCATGTTGAAAAAATACCACTTAGGATATAGTGGGCTAATTAAAATATGTTGTTAGTATTAATTTCCTCTGTCAGCTAAGCTGACCACTATAAAATTTAAAATCACATATGTGGCTCACACTATATTTGAACAGCTCTGGTTAGGGAAAAGTTAGAGCTTCATCACAGGCAGGTTGCTGATTCTAGGAGGTTCCTACTAGTAGAAAAAGAAAATTTAGAATAGTTCCAACACTGGATTATAAGAGAGGTTTTAGCAAAGATGTCAGACTGTGCTTAAACATAATAGGGTTAAAAACATACCTTTAAACTATTTTCATCCCAATATTCCAGCATAATTTCCTTTAAAGAATCATGAATTTGAAAGAAGAGTGATGTTAGCTCTGAACCACTGTTATTGATATTTGCAGGTAATTCATGTAGTGCATTTTGATAAGAACCTTAGGACAATAATGACTCAAAGTAAACTTTTGCTCTTAGCACATCAATAAGATGCTACATTTTAAAAAACCCAGAAAATGTACAAGGAAGCATTCATGAAGAAACATCTCAAGGGAAATGGAAATTTCCAATCATTAACAATGTATGGGCATGGTACTTTTATTCAGGAATTAAGTCTTCAGCAACCCTTATGTGGTACCTATTATCACCCACGTTTTATAGATGTGGAAACCGGTTGAAAAAAAGAGAACAAGAATTCTGTCTCATTTTCCACTTTGAGGCTAATATTGAGTCTGACACATAGTAGATGCTCAGTGAATGGCCATTGGCTGGAGAGGGACATTTTACTGATTCCAGTACAAGGTTTCTCTCTAAAGAGTGTCTGATTACAACACTCTTGCTGTTCCCAATGCCACATGATGAGAGAGAAGGGTGTACTTAACTATTTTTTTCCAATTCTCATCATAAATCAATGGGATATAAATATTTCTATCATTTCTGTCAGCAAGACTTGTGTGTATTGTTATTATTTTGGAAAGCATCCTAATATTATATTAAAGCATGCTTCCTGGTTCAAAACATTACAAGTACCAGCTTGACTGGATATCACACTTACATGGCTGGACAAGCATCAGTGCATTAAATAAATGGAACATCTTTGCCCCTAATCCAAGCAATAAAGTATAGTCTCCCTCTCCCTCCCTCTCTCTCTCATTCTCAACAAGGGTCTTGATCTCAGTTGTTTATGTTCCTTGGAGTTTTGAGATTTTTCTCCTTGCCCCACCCCACTATCTTGGTTGCCTCTCTACTTTGCGCTGGAAAATGCAGGCCGAACAACACGCCTCTGAAAGTTTTGCGCTTTACTTATGAGTTAAAAACAAACTCTAGAGCTGAGCTTTTTCTGAGTCCGCGTTTATCCAGGAATCCGCGTCCGAGGGCAGAATTCCTCCGGCAACAATCCCTGTGCCATTCAACTTGTGAGCCTGAACTCACGCCGACTAGCACGTGCACGTCCGAGCTGGCTCCCACATACCACAGCAGGGTGGGTCTCAGCCTATCCGGGAGCCTCCCCTGAAGCTCTGAGAGGAGGTCACAACCTGCTCCCCAACCCTCGCCCGCAAAATCCTGAACAGTGACCTCGCCTGCAGCCCAGGAAGGCAGGGCACATTCCCTTCCCAGTCCTGCCCAGGGACGATCGCTCCTATTTACCGTCTTGTACCACCAGCTTGCAAATGCCATGGCGACGACGGATGTGCTTCGAGTGGCGCAGCGAGGGACCCGGCGAGGACACGGGTGCAGCGCAGCAAGGGGCCGCCGGCTCGCACTCCACCTGCCGCAGACCTGGCTGGGGCTGGCTCTGCAAACCCCAAGGCTGTCAGCGGGTGGGCAAGGCAGCTGGGCGGGGCCTACCCGACCCCGCCCCTCCGGCTGACCCCGCCCCCCGGCTGACCCCGCCCCGCCGCGCCCCGCCCCGCCGGTTTGGCTCAAAGCTGCTAAGGGAAGAAGTGTTATTGCTCCAGGCAGCCACGCCCTGCAGTCTGGACTGGACGCGGAAGACCCGACTTTTCTGCTGAACTCTCCTACAGACTCCGGAATGCCGGGGGGTCCCAAATGAACTTCATTCTCCTTTTACCCTCATCCGCTTCTCACCCACCCCTGTCTTATCTACCAACTTTTCCCAACGCATGAGTGAGAAGTGAGCAAAAGTCGCTCAGTCGTGTCCTGGCTCTTTGCCACCCCATGGACTATCCAGTGCAGGGAATTCTCCAGGCCAGGATACCGGAGTGGGCAGCCCGTTCCCTTCTCCAGGGGATCTTCCCAACCCAGGGATCGAACCCAGGGCTCCCGCACTGCAGGCAGAGCCGCCAGGGAAGCCCCCTCCAATGTGACTTGGGCCGCGCCCAGTGCAGTTGGCCGGGACCCGGGGCCATCCGCGGGCCCCTCCAGTCACCTGCTCAGAGGCAGGTCCTGAGTCCACACCCTCCCCTCCCAGGATGCTTCTCCGGCCCGGGAGGAGTGGTGCCCAGGGGCAGCAGGGCAGCCAGGCTGACCCCCTTCTGGAGGTGGACCCAAGGCTTCGGGGGGCCCGAGATCCTCCCCGCGCTCAAGCCCGGCGGTGAGAGCACCACTCACCTCCTGGGTGTGGCGGGGAGAGCGCCGAGGCCGCGGGGAGGCGGCGGGCTTCGGGCCCGGCTGGGACATGGCGAGACCGGTGCGAGCGCTGCCTCCGGCAGGGCGCGGCGGAGCCTGGAAGGGAGGCCCGAGCCGGGGAGCGCTGGGAGGGAGCTAGGGCGCGGAGGGGCTGGCGGGCGCGCCTGTGAGGCAGCTTTTCCGACCCAGCCCCGACCCGCGGGGGCTCCCCCTTGCTGGGCAGGGCCCTCCTCTTCCTGCCTGTAGCTGGCTGCGCCCGGGCAGCAGCGGCCCGGGGCTCCCTGTGTGCAGCTCACACTCTGGGTCCCGTATCTTCTCCCAGGGACACCCCACCCCACCCCATCCCAACCCCCCGAGGTCTCCTTGGGCGCCCCAGTGGGTCGCAGAGAGGAGGGGCTGGAGACGGCGGGGTTCCTCCTCTGACTCGCCTAGACTTGGCTGGCAGTTGTGCAAGGAGAGCGGAACCGGGGCGTGGCCCCGTCTACACCTCAAGCCCCCCTCCCTAAGAATCTCAAGAATTAGACAGTTTTTCTGCAGTCTGCTCTGGGTTAACTAGGAGAAGAACTTACCAACTCAGATGGCCCGGGGCCTGGACCCTCTGGATAAGGAAGCGGATTGCAGAAACAAATTGGTCTATGTGTGACTCCGTGTGTTGTGAGTGTGTGTGTGTGTGTGTACGTACGCGGGCCTCTGTATGTTTTATGCCACTTTACTTTGGGTTGGGATGGGGGTAGTTTTGAAAGCGCAATGATGTTTTATGTGGAAGAAGTCTTAGGTTCCAATCAAAATCTAAGAACAATCCCAAGTTTAAACCCCATGGCCTTTCAGGAGGCTGTTGAATTTTGTTTGTGAGGAGGAGGCGGGATTGCTTTTGTATTTGGTTCATCTTAAACAGCACTTCCTGGTTTGGGGCTGTGAATTACAACAAGCCTGAAGTGAAATGTTACAGGCCAGACTAGAAAAGGCTCCTCTGCAGTGATTGCCTGCCTGTGGTTGCTGTCGGTTTGTGATCTGACAGAAGAAAACCTGTTAACCCTGCCATGGCATTGACAATGTGGCCTTGGGGTCACTGCTGTCTGCGGCGCTGTGTTTCAGACAGCTGGGGAGAGGGGATGCAGGTTACAAAGAAAGACTAGTCGTGCTGAATGGACCTTGGCAGAATGAAATCCTTGTTTCCTTCTCCATTCTCATTTTGGGCATTCTGACTTCCCTTTATTCGAGGGACCTGTTCCTTCATTCTTCATGGGGGGGGGGGGGCGGGGACAGTGGGCAGGGAGGGATGATTTCAATGCATTTCCTCAAAGGAAATATCTATGTATCTGATATTTCCAAAAAACAGCATTAACAGGTTTACTTCTGTCCAATCATCACAAACCAGCAGCAACCACAGGCAGGCAATCACTGCAGAGAAGCCTTTTCTAATCTGGCTTGTAACATTTCACTTCAGGCTTGTTATAATTCACAGCCCCAAACCAAGAAGTGCTGTTTAGGATAAACCTAAGACAATTTATACATACCTGAATCAACTTGGATAAGGGGCCTATGATTGCCCATTCAATAAAAACTGATTGATGGCATCAGTTACATTCATAATTATGGAAAATATGTCATAAACCTGAAAATGCTTTTATGATTGTGATCAAACACCTACAGTAATTTAAGCAAACGTAAAACGAAAAGGGTGATATAATGGCTCCACTTCCAGGCCCAGGAATTGGAACCACCTCTCCTAGGATCCTAAAGGGCCTAGATTCAGTATCCCCGAGTACATTATTATGACTCTGGAAGAACAGTTCCCATTAAAGTTTGAGTTATTTTTTAATGGAGTATTGAAATTGAACTTAGGACTTCCCTGGTGGTAGAGTGGATAACAATCTGCCTATCAATGCAGGGGACACAGGTTTGATCCCTGGTCCAGGAAGATTTCACACGCTACATGACTGCTGAGCCCACGGGCTGCAACTACTGAAGCCCATGCACCTAGAGTCTGCTTCACAGCAAGAGAAGCCTCAGCGATGAGAAGCCCATGCACCCCAGTGAAGAGTAGAGCCCCTGGTCGCAACTAGAGAGAGCCTGTGCACAGCAACCAACAAAACCAAAAAAAAAAAAAAAACAAAACTGAACTTAAACTGGTTAGTTTCATATTTGAAAGCCGTCCATGTAAAGCACAATGAAAAGGACTGTAGAAGGAGGTTAAAATACATATTTCCTGTCCTCCAGGGACTTAAGAGTTTAGCTGAAGTCATATAGCATTTGTAACATGTGATCATTTGGGTGGCACTGAAAGACACACAGTGGGTGAATAAATACAAACGTACTTTGGGAATTTGGGATTCTGTGGGTACGGGGGTCTATAGGAAGGGAAAGTAGGCTTGAGCCAGCAGACTGGCTGGTGGGAGGTGGTCAGAAGAAAGCAGGGATCAGTTCAGTTCAGTTACTCAGTCATGTCCAACTATTTGCAACCCCATGGACTGCAGCACACCAGGCTTCTCTGTCCATCGCCAACTCCCAGAGTTTACTCAAATTCATGTCCATTGTGATGCCATCCAACCATCTCATCCTCTGTCGTCCTCTTCTCCTCCTGCCTTCAATCTTTCCCAGCATCACAGCCTTTTCCAATGAGTCAGTTCTTCCCATCAGGTGACCAAAGTATTGGAGTTTCAGCTTCAGCATCAGTCCTTACAATGAATATTCAGGGCTGATTTCCTTTAGGATTGATTGGCTTGATCTCCTTACAGTCCAAGGGATTCTCAAGAGTCTTCTCCAACACCACAGTTCAAAAGCATCAATTCTTCAAAAGCATCAATCAGTTGTGGAAGTGACCGGTGATTGATGTTAACTCCGATACTGTAAACAGCAATATTGCATAGGAACCTAGACTATTAGGTCCATGAATCAAGGTAAATTAGAAGTGGTCAAGCAGGAGATGGCAAGAGTGAACATCGACATTTTAGGAGTAAGTGAACTAAAATGGACTGGAGTGGGTGATTTTAACTCAGATGACTATTATATCTACTAGTGTGGGCAAGAATCCCTCAGAAGAAATGGAGTAGCCCTCACAGTCAACAAGAGTTCGAAAGGCAGTACTTGGGTGCAATCTCAAAAACGACTCTGTTAGTTTCCAAGAATGATCTCTGTTCATTTCCAGGGCAAGCCATTCAGTATCACGGTAATCCAAGTCTATGCTCCAACCAGTAATTCTGGATAAGCTGAAGTTGAACAGTTCTATGAAGACCAACAAGACCTTGAGGAACTAACACCCAAAAAATATGTCCGTTTCATCAGAGGGGACTGGAGTGCAAAAGTAAGAAGTCAAGAGATACCTGGAGTAACAGGCAAATTTGGCCTTGGAATACAGAATGAAGAAGAGCAAAGGCTAACAGAGTTTTGCCGAGAGAACCCACTGGTCATAGCAAACACCCTCTTCCAACACAAGAGAAGACTCTACACATGGACATCACCAGATGGTCAATACTGAAATCAGACTGATTATAGTTTTTGCAGCGAAAGATGGAGAAGCTCTATACAGTCAGCAAAACAAGACTGGGAGCTGACTGTGGCTCAGATCATGAACTCCTTGTTGTCAAATTGAGACTTAAATTGAAGAAACTGGGAAAACCACTAGACCATTCAGGTATGACCTAAATCAAATCCCTAATGATTATACAGTGCAAGTAAGAAATAGATTCAAGGGGTTAGATCTGATAGACAGAGTGCCAAAAGAAGTATGGATGAAGGTTCGTGACATTGTACAGGAGGCAGTGATCAAGACCATCCCCAAGAAAAAGAAATGCAACAAGGCAAAATGGTTGTTGGAGGAGGCCTTACAAACAGCTGAGAAAAGAAGAGAAGCTAAAGGCAAAGGAGAAAAGAAAAGATGTATCCATTTGAATGCAGAGTTCCAAAGAATAGAAAGGAGCGATAAGAAAGTCTTCCTCAGTGATCACTGCAAAGAAATAGAGGAAAACAACAGAATGGGAAAGACTAGAGATCTCGTCAAGAAAAGTGGAAATACCAAGGGAACATTTCATGCAAAGATGGGCACAATAAAGGACAGAAATGGTATGGACCTAACAGAAGCAGAAGATATTAAGAAGGGGTGGCAAGAATACACAGAAGAACTGTACAAAAAAGATCTTCATAACCCAGATAACCACAATGGTGTGATCACTCACCTAGAGCCAGACATCCTGGGATGTGAAGTTAAGTGGGCCTTAGGAAGCATCGCTATGAACAAAGCTAGTGGAGGTGATGGAATTCCAGTTGAGCTATTTCAAACCTTAAAAGATGATGCTCTGAAACTGCTACACTCAATATGCCAGCAAATTTGGAAAACTCAGCAGTGGACACAGGACTGGAAAAGGTCAGTTTCCATAGCAATCCCAAAGAAAGGCAATGCAAAAGAATGTTCAAACTACCTCACAATTGCACTCATATTACACTCTAGCAAAGTAATGTTCAAAATCCTCCAAGTCAGGCTTCAACAGTGCATAAACAGTGAGCTTCCAGATGTTCAAGCTGGATTTAGAAAAGACAGAGGAACCAGAGATCAAATTGCCAACATTCGCTGGATCATTGAAAGAGCAAGAAACTTCCAGAAAAATGTCTACGTCTGGTTCATTGACTATGCCAAAGCCTTTGACTGTGTGGATCACAATAAACTGTGGAAAATTCTGAAAGAGATAGTAATACCAGACCACCTGACCTGCCTCCTGAGAAACTTGTATGCAGGTCAGGAAGCAACAGTTAGAACTGGACATGGAACAACAGACTGGTTCCAAATCGGGAGCCAAGTCAGTCAAGGCTGTATATTGTCACCCTGCTTATTTAACTTATATGCAGAGTACATCATGTGAAATGCCAGGCTGGATGAAGCACAAGCTGGAATCAAGATTGCCAGGAGAAATATCAATAACCTCAGATATGCAGATGACAGCATCCTTATGGCAGAAAGTGAAGAACTAAAGAGCCTCTTGATGAAAGTGAAAGAGGAGAATGAAAATGTTGGTTTAAAACTCAGCATTCAGAAAACTAAAAGCATGGCATCCAGT